TTCCAGGAAGGAGAGAGAGAATGAAAAAGGGCACTCAGAGGCCAGTTTCTTCTGACAAAAGAGTGATTTTCATCTTTTTTTCTTTTTTAATCCTTACCCGAGGACATTTTTCCATTTTTTGTTCAGACAGAGGACGAGAGAGAAAGAGGACGAGGGAGGGAGGGAGAGAGAGAGAGAGAGAGAGAGAGAGAGAGAGAGAGAGAGAGAGATCGATGTGTGAAAGGGACGACCAACCAGGGCCAGGGACAAACTGCAACTGAGGTACATGCCCTTAGCAGGAACTGAACCTGGGTCTCTCTGGACCACAGGTCGATGCTCTAACCGGTGAGCCAAACTGACAAGGGCAGAGTGATTTTCATCTTAGTGACCAATGAGAATGAAAGCAGAAAGGAAGAAAATAAATCCATAGTTTGAAATGAAGCCTTTTATAGGCGAGCCCCATTAGTCTGATCTGAATGCCCAAGTATCACTTCCTTGTCTTCTGGTTAAGGAGAACACATATTTCTTGAGTCAAGGAAAAGTCAGTGCCACACAAATTAAATAAAAGATAAATGTCAGGTTTCATCAGGTTGGTGAAATAAAAATTTAGACAATCTCAAATTTACACAACAGAGAAGAGGATAGGAGAGGAAAGAAATAGGGCATGAGTCACAGAATAGGTTTTCAAAGGAACGGTCTTTACTGAAGCCCCAAGCTAATGCCAGTGAAAAGGAGGTAGTGGTATGGACAGTTCTTTATTTTATCTTTTTATTCTACCTGGTACCAGAAAGAAATTGTGGCAGTATAAACCATGTCTTTGGGCAAATATTCAACAAGTGTTTATAGAGTAAAATTGAGAAAAGATGAGCAGGAAGTGGAATGATATTCAAATCTGGACTAGATGAAGGAGGTAGATATTTCCTTAAGGGTATATTTATTGAGGGAAGGAGAGGAATTAAGGGTTAAATCCTATGTGAGCTGGGAAGTGTCGGGGCCCCTGTGGCAAACTGAATGGAGCTGCCTCTTGCCTGGGGGTCACAGAGGGATCCTCTTTGGCTCTTGAAAGATAGCGGTGGCTACCAGAGTCCCAGAGGTGCCCCCAAGAGATTCAGGAAGTGGCTTTCTCATTTTTGCTCCTGGCCCGGTCTCAGCTAAAAGGTCCAAGGCAGAGGGGCCCTCTCAGTCTCCATCTGGCCTTGAGGGTTAAAGATGCTGAAGCTTAAGGCAAACAGGAAATGTTGGGGTGGGAAGGGGTGATGTCAGAGCACAGAAGCAGAGCCTCCACTCCCCTCCATCAAGATATGAGTGTGGCTGGGGATGGAGGGAGGAAGAAGTTGTAAGGTCAGATTATGGGGTCCTTGATGGAGCAGGAGCAAGAAGCCAGGGAGGAGATGAGGAGCTGTTTCTGGAAAGGGAAACCCTTCAAGGCAAGTTCTTGGCATGGCAGCCCAGATAAGCTGCACTGGCTTTTTACAGTGTCTGGCTTCAGCCCCCCACCCCTTTAGGGTCCCTTAGTCCCTGTGAGTGGCCTATTAACTGCTAGCATAATTAGAACCCCAATATCTCTTCCTGGGCCCCTCAACCTGTGCCATTCCTGATACAGCATAGCCCAGAGTTCTGTGTGAAACCCTGAAATTTGCAATTCCTACCAGGCATCCCATCCTTGTCTATCTCCATGTGAGTCTCCCAGGCCATGGTGACCTCAAATGCTCTCCCCTTACCCACACAGCTCCGTGCTTCTCCTCTGAGGCATCAGACTGCTGCACACTCTGTCCTCTCAGCTCTGTGGAGCACCAATTTCCTGCATGACAAATTCCTTCAGGTCCTCAGGTGTATGCATTCAATTCACTCCCTACCCCCTGCCTTAAATGCAATCATTCCCATACCCCTAGCTTTGTTCTACTCACAGAGAGGAACTTGTGCACCCACAAGAGACACAGGGACCCTTGGGGCCTGAGGTCAAACATGTGCTTTTTTTTTTTTTTAATCACCCTCCAATATGAGATCAGGAGAGGGGACAGGGCGGGTTCCTGGAACAGTCCCTCACTTCCCCCTGCCCTATGACTGTCCTTCACTCTGCTAAAATGGCATGGCTTTCTGATCCCTGTGTTCCCTCATGCATCCTGGCACTAAATTGCTTTTCATCCACCCACAGCTATTCTCAATTCTCAGATTGGTGTGGGGTCCTGTGCTGGCTGTGTCCTCCAGCATGTAGCTTCAGGACTTACAGGGTTGAGGCTCCATCCAGCGCTATCAGCTGAGCCTCTGGTGCTGGGCTCCCATGAGGAGCTGCTTTCCCCCTTTCCTTAACTGGAGACTGGGGAGAGGACAGTTTCAGCGCACAGGAGAGATTCCTGGTGGTGACCATGATGTCATCTAGAAGCAGCAGCAGTAATCTAAGAAATCCATCCAAAGGAAGGAGAGTTGCCCCTCCCCAAAGGGACCAGGAATGGAGCCTCTGGATTCCCCATTTTGGGCTGTAACTCCAGCATCAGACTCCTCTGGATATGTGACAGCAGAAAGCACTGGGGCATTGTCAACTAGTGTGTGTCACAGTTTGGCTCTGTGACCTAAGGGACAAATCAGTTGAAGAAAAGGGCTCTGTCCATTTACCTTTGGGGGATATTTCAGCCCCTTTCTCCTCTTTTCCTCACCTGCGAAATGAGATTGCTAAAAACCACACCTCATGGTACAACCCCACCCCTTTTCAGCTTTTTACCATATTTCTGTTATTCCCTTTTCCTTTACTTCTTAAAATAATACCACAGAGACATTAAAATAGATTCTGATATATATTTATTGACATAGAAAGAAGCCCACAATGTGAATTGTTTGGTGAAAAAATACAGACTATAGACCAGCACTTATATTTGAACACTTTTATCTATACATATATCTATCTGGATACATTGGTATAGGGAAATATGTAAAAGGATATTCATAAAAGTGTTAACAATGATTATATAAGGGTGGAAGATTTGGAGTAATTTGTACGTTACTTTTGTACCTTTTTATTTGTTTGAAAATTTAACAGTGAATTATACCACTTTCACAGAGAATAAAGCCATCAAGGAAAGGGGTACACACAGAAAATAGACCCTTAGGCAGCAGAGGTGAGGGTGGGGAGCAAGGACAGAGGACAGGCCATCTTCCTCCACTGTGCTGGTATCCAAGACCCTTTCTCCTCCACCCTAAAAGAAAGCTGCTTTGTGGTTAATTCATGCAATTAGAAGCCCCCTCCCCCAGTTTTCCCATCACTGGACTCTGAATATAGCTTAAGGATTAAGACTAGGGGATAGCACCTCACTGTAGCTCAGAAAGGTCATGGGGTTCATCAGGAGCCTCTCTTGACCCCTCCTCTTCTGTATGTGTCAGCTCCTGCAGGGTGATTATCAGATTCTCTAACACCTCAGCCTTGTTGCTCTTGTAACAGGTTTCCTTAGAGTGGCCCTCCTTGCCACAATATGAACAGCAGATTGTGTATTTTCGCTTCCTGACTCTACACATATCCCCAGGACTGTCATTCTTATATCCAGAACTGCCACTGGTGGAAGGAGATTGAACCTGAGAACTGGTGGGGGAATCAATAACTACCACTTGATCCCAAGGTCTGGGCCTGCGTCTGCGGGGAGGAGAACCAGAGGAAGAAAGTGGAGGGTCCTGAGACTCCACCAGGATCACATCTTCATCTGAGTCATCCAGGGTGTCATCTATCTCTATCACATTGCAGTCAGCACTGCCGATCACTATCCGTAGGGAACCCTGAAATGCCACTGGGCTGGTTGCCCTCTCCACCATTGACTCAGATCTCCTGGTCCGCTTTCGTTTAATAAAAGTGTCATCCCAATCCTCTTCCTCCCTTATCATTCTGATTAACTCCAGGAAATTGGGAAGACGCTCCTGCTCATTTGCATACAACCTTAGGAGATGCTTCAGCCTGAAGCGCAGGTCCCCATTCAGCTCAGCCCCTAAAAGGAGCTGGTGCAGGCGAGTCTGGTTTGCATCTTTCTCAGCTATGATCCCTGCCTGAATAGCATTCTGGAGCTGCACCTCTAAACGGATCACATAAAGGGAGACTTTCTCCCCTTGTGCCTGCAGGGTGTTAAAAAATTTACCATGAGCAGTCACACTGCTTTCAGATTCCCCAAACACCAATTTCATTGCATGCAAGAAATCTGCCACACTTAGGTTGGGGTTGGCTGCCTGGAACAAATGCATAACCTCCCGGGCAGGGCCCCTAAGGGTTTTCAGCAAGCGCTTGAGCTTTTCCTCCTCGGACATATTCCAATCTGGTAGGACCCCATTGACTTGGATCAGCCAGTTTTCAAAGGTTTCTTCCCCCTGGGCTGGCACCACCCTCCCTGAGAACAACTTCAGATTTCTCTCTGCCATGTTGGCCATTAAAGGACCAAGACTTCTCCCCAGGGACCTCAGCATAGAATGGGCCCAGGGAGGCAAGGGTGCGTTCTGCCTCCGGCTATCACCCACGCGTGCAATGATGCTAGCCATGACCAACAATGATTGGGTATCTGAATACTAACACGATGTTTGGGCTTTTTGGAAAAGCCTAATCTGCAGACGTGCCGGGGGGTCTCTGCCTTCTTCCTTTCTCAGTAGGGACTGTAAAAAAGAAAAAAATAATGGAGGGGGTAATAAAAGAGGATTAATAAGGTTACAGTTGTTTTCTCTCCCTTCCTGAATATCCTGCAGTACATTTTGTATCCGGCTACAACTCTAATATCCTCCAGCAGACTGGCAATTACAACCTCAGGGAGCCAGCCAGTATTAGCAGGAAGCTTTAGACAGCCACACATCCCTCCAGTCCTTCAAGGACAGCAACTGTTGCTTCTAAGTGTAATAGTGTATAGAGCTGATGTTGGGCTCTCAAAATAGAGCACAGTGCCCACAGATTTGTGGGAATAAATAAAATATTATTAATCTTATGGTCTCAGGTCTCAACCACACCCCCTTCTCCAAGTGTCTCTGCCCCCACCCCTTATCTTTCAGATTCTTACAGAAGCTCAGGAACAAGCGCGCCCTTTTATTTCACTATCAGCCTCTGCAACTGGTGGCCTCCATGAGAAAGCTTGTCTCCAGGGTACAGTGGATCTCAGTTCAGTGGAGGTCGCAGATCCCCGACCACAGGGCGTCAGATTGCGCCTTCGTGTAGGGCAAGGCAGGGCAGGGCAGGGAAAGGAAGAGTCAAAAACAGCTTCATCCTTCATCCCGCTCTCCCTCTCCCCACCTCTTCCCCCCCTCCCTCTGCTGTAGCCAAGCGGAAAATTCCCTTTTCCACCTTCTGAATACAAGCCAAAGCAACCCCCACTCCATTTGATTTCCCCGGTAAATCATCGGCCTACCAGCTCTGCAATCAGTTGCACAGAATTCAAGTTTGGATTCGTCTTCGGGGACCTGACACCGAGAAAGGGAATAAGAGTTGGACAGGCACCCACATATCCCTCCCCAGGATGAGATGAGGGGATGCAAAGGGGTTTCAAGACGGACAGCTTTCGATTCTCTCCCCACCCCGGCACCTTGACTCCTCCACCCCTAAATGCCCCCTCTCAATCCAGGCAAATCCTACCCCTAGGCAGCATCCAGTGGCACCCCACCTCCTCCCCCAGCGCAGCCCAGCCACAAGGGTGCTCCTTGCTTGCCCAGCCTCGCAGTTCTGGATTTTCCAAGCCGGGAGTGCCCAGTCCTTGTGAGGATTCCCCTCCTCTCTCCACGCGGGTCAATCTTAATCTTGTCCCCTTTTTTTTTTTTTTACCTGTGCTCTGCCGTCTGGCAGCGGCCTGCCAGCCCTAGATGTAGCCTTAGGCCTCTGCGGCCCTGCAGAGGAAAGGGATGAACGCTTCCTCCGCTGCTAAGCCACCCGGGGCTGCGGGGATAGAGCTGCTCTGCACCACCGCCCAGCTAGGGGGAGCCGAGTGGAAGAAGCACAGTTTCCACGGCAGCCGCAGCTGCTTTTATCCTCTGTCCACTGAGACAAAAGAGCGTGACACGCAGCCAATCAAAGGGGAAGGGGGTGCGGCTCCCAGCACAGCCCCCAGCCGGTGGCAAATTTTACAAAAGGCTGGGGTCTGGGGACAGGCCCCGCAGGTCTGCTGGGTGTCAGGTGCAGCTTGGTTGCACCGACTGCAAGAGTTAGGACTCTTCCATTCTCCCTCTCCTTCTTCCTTGGCTCAACTCCGCGCCTTGAGGCCAAGTGCATTAAACACCAGGTGGGATGGAAAACAAATAAAAAATAAAAGTACTTTACCTTTGTATGGTGGGAAGGGAGGGGAAAAAAGAACATTAGGGTTTTCTTTGTGCAAATAGGCTTGCACAGACATCTCTTACAATGAAGAAGGTGGCAATGTATCCATTTAACAGTGAGAGGACTTTAGGCACCAAGGCTGTTAACCAATTAATTACTCACTGTGGATACTAACTATGGGTACAAGGCTGGCTGCATCAGAAAAATTTTGGGGAGCTAGTTAGAAATGTAGATTACTAGGCCTGGCCTCTGGTTGATTCTGATTTAGGAATGGGGCTGAGGGTGTGATTTTAGATTTTAGATGTTTAACCAGCACTGTAGTTTATTCTGAGGTGTAGAGAAGATGGTAAGTAAATATACCTATATGCAATGTATCTATTCACAGGATATCTGTGGTGAAATGCATCTCCAGAGCATATGTTCCTACCTGGGTCCATGATCTTTCTGAAATTGTATGGAAGGAGTTTGGACTCTGTAGGAGGCTGAATAATGGTCACCCAAATATATCAAGTCCTAATCCCTGGAACCTGTAAATGTTACCTTATAAAGTAAAAGAGTCTTGGTAGATGTGATTAAATTAAGAATATTGATATGAGGAGATTATCCTAGATCATGTCAGTGGGCCCTAAATTCAATCACAGGTGTTCTTAAGAGAAGGAGGACAAGAGAGCTGACACACAGAAAAGGAGAAAGGATGTGAAGACAGAGGCACAGATTGGAGTGATGTGGCCACAAGCAAAGGAATGCTGGCAGCCACCAAAAACCAGAAGAGGCAAGGAAAAATAGTACAGCCCTGCCCACACCTTGAATTCAGCCCAGAGGAACTGATACTGAACTTCTGGCCTCCATAACTATGAAAGAATAAATTTCTCCTGTTTCCAGTCACCAAGTTTGTGGTAATTTGTCACTGCAGCCATATTAAACTAATACAGACTGTATTTTTCTGAATCCATAGCTTTGTGGATTTTTTTTTTAATCTTTATTGTTGGATGTAAAATGTATTACAGATGTTCCACATTTTTCCCCCATTGACCCCCTCCTCCCCACTCCCGCCCCCCTCCCGCCTTTTCCCACACTATTGTCTGTGTCCATAGGTTATGCATATAAGTTCTTTGGTTTATTTCTTCCCACCCCCCAACCCCCTTCTCTTTGAGGTTTGTCAGTCTAGCAACCAATTTGTTCTTAATCCCTTCACCTTTTTCACCCATTCCCCCAACCCCCCTCACATCTGGCAACCAACAAAATGTTCTCTGTATCTATGAGAATGTTTCTGTTCTGCCTGTTCATTTTATTTGTAGATTAAGTTGTCCACAGATATGTATTCATTGCCATTTTGTTTGTTCATATATTTTATCTTTATCATCAAAAAGACCCTTCAACATTTCATATAATAATGGTTTGGTGGTGATGAACTCCTTTAACTTTTTCTTGTCTGGAAAACTCTTTATATGGTCATCGATTCTAAATGACAGCTTTGCAGGATAGAGTAATCTTGGTAGTAGGTTCTTGCTTTTCATCACTCTGAATATTTCTTGCCACTCCCTTCTGGCCTTCAAAGTTTCTTTTGAGAAATCAGCTGACAGTCTTATGGGAACTCCTTTGTAGGTAAGTAACTGCTTTTCTCCTGCTGCTTTTAAGATTCTCTCTTTGTCTTGAACCTTTTGCATTTTGATGATGATGTGTGTTGGTGTGGGCCTCTTGGGGTTCATCTTGTTTGGGACTCTCTGTGCTTCCTGGACTTGTATTTCTGTTTCCTTCACCAAGTTAGGAAAGTTTTCTGCCATTATTGTTTCAAACAGGTTTTTGATTTCTTGTTCTCTCTCTTCTCCTTCTGGCACCCCCAAGATGCGAATGTTGGCATGCTTGAAGTTGTCCCAGAGGCTCCTTATGCTATCCTCATTTTTTTGGATTCTTTTTTCTTTTTGCTGTTCTGATTGGGCATTTTTTGCTTCCTTATATTCCAAATCGATGGTTTGCTCCTTGGATTTACATACTCTATTATTGAAGCTGTGTAAATTATTCTTTATTTCAGTTAATGTCTCCTTCAATTCTAACTGTGCATCCATGATTTCTAACTGGTCCTTTCTTATGCTCTTGAGGCCCTCCCTAAGTTCACTGAGGTTCTCACTAAGTTCATTGAGCATCCTTATAAGCAGTATTTTGAACTCAGCATCTGTTAGGTTGCTTATCTCCATTTTGCTTATTTCTTTTCTTGGGGTTTTGTTCTGTTCTTTCATTTGGGACCTGTTTCTTTGTCTCCTCATTTTGGCTGCCTCCCTGTGTTTGTTTCAGTGTATTACTTACTGAGAGGTATGGGGCTCGCTGAGACCAGATGCTGCTCCTTTGAAAGAATTTAGGAAAAACCTGAAGCAGGATCCAAGACAGGCCAATCCTATGGTTAAGCAAGTGGCAACAGCTTGGGTGGGCTTGAAAGTTGGGTGGGGTGGGACGGGGCCTCAGGGAGTCACCAGGGTGGGGCTACCAGTGTGAGCCAGGTTGCTGTAGTCCCAGATATGGCAACTGTCTGCCGCCTCAGGGAAGGGCTCACCAAAGGAACCAAGGCCTCTTACAGCACGTTTGTCCTGGAGAAAGCCCCCTCTCCAGCCCTCGCTCCAGTGCCAAACAGCTCAGTTCTTCCCTGTATGTCTCCGGACCCTCGAGCTGCCTCCCCTCCAAGCTTAGAGGGAGAGAGTCCGATAAGTTTGCGCGCGGGCCCTTCAAGGAGCTGCCTGGGGCTCCAGCCGCGTCAGCTTCCCTGAGCCTCAGTTCCTGCTGGTTTTTCCAGCCATAAGTTATGGGGACTTCTCTTCCTGGCACTGGAACCCTGAGCAGGGCACCTGGTGTGGGACGAGGACCCCTCAGTCCTCAGGAAGGACCTTCCCAGTCGAGGTAGCCTCCTTTTTATCCGCCACACTTGGGTGTGGGGCCAGCCTGTTGCGCCACCGCCGCCGCTGCCCCTTACGCCTCTGCCCCTCCTACCAGTCTGGATGTGGCTGCTGCTTTAATTCCATAGTTGTAGGACTTCCGGTCAGCTTGATTTCAGGTGGTTTTGAATGATGGTTGTTTTGTAGTTTATTTGTAACTTTGATGTGGTTGTGGGAGGACGCCATACCACGTTTACCTACTCCGCCATCTTGACCGGAAGTCGCTTTGTGGATTTTAAAATGGGTCAGTGGCCTAGTAATAGTTAAAACCTCTCCCCTACAATCTTTCTTCATTAATATCTTCCTCCTTCAATTTGTACTTGAGAAAAGAGTGTAAGAAATGAAACACAATTTTACTAGAGCTCTGAACCACAGTTTTCTGCCATGACTGCTCTATTTCCTGGTTCAAGGATATGTTGTTAGGTGGTTCTTCTTTGAGTCTTGAAAGGACTTCACCTGTGCTGGACTAGGCATTAGTGGCCCCAGAGAAGAAGCAACTCCATAAAAACAGCATGCAGAGCTGTCTGGAGTGAATGGGCCATGAAGCCAGTGACTCCATGTCTTAGCTCAGGTTGCCATGACAAAGTACCACATACTTGGTGGGGGGCTTAACAGAAATTACTTTTTTCATAGTTATGGAGGCAAGAAGTCCAATTAAAGGTGCCTACAGCATTGGTTTCAACTGAGGCCTCTCTTTGGCAGGTGGCCACCCTCTTGCTGCCTTTTCACAGGATCGTTCTGTGTGCCCACTCCTGATGTTTAAATTTCCTCTTCTTATAAAGACTCCAGTCAGATTGGATCATGACCCACCCTAATGGCCTCATTTTCACTTAGTCTTTTCTTTAAAAGCCCTACCCCCAAACACAGTCACATTCTGTGGTAGTAGGGGTTAGGACTTCCACATATGAACTTTGGAGAGAGACAATTCAGTCCATAACACTCTATTTTCTCTTACTTCTGGTTTGGGGAAAGCATGTCTTCTTTCTCTCATGTGGAATGTAGCTAGAAAGTCCTTTTGGGGTTTTGGGGGGTCAGGGTGGTGGTGTCATGCACTGCACAAGTGGACTGCCCAAGTGCAAAGTTGTTGGTGTTGCTTGCTCTTGACTGCTAATACTTGGAAATAAGTGACAATCTGATGCCCTTCAGCCTGCCAAATACATCACCTGATCCTTTGTGTTTTACTTTTTTATAATTAATTAATTAATTAATTTTTGTTACAGATGTTTCTCCTTTTTTGATCCTTTATGTTTTATTTCCAAGCCCAATACTTAGAACTCCTTAGAGTAGATAATTCAAACTTAAAGATGAAGCAACTTCCATCTCAGAATTTTCAGTGGAACAGTGGGGTGGTGGTGGTAGTGTAGGGTGGAGAGTGGTGGAGGTAGAGAGAAGGCATATTGGTCACCTTGCAGAGTCTGGGGTGATGCTGGCATTAACTTAAAGAGCTGTCTTCAGACTCTTCCTTGGGTTCGCCAGTACTATGACATCTGACCCTGTCCTCTAAGCAGATTCTTGTTCTGCATTTGTATGGTTTCATCACCAAATCAGGTGATCTGCAGTTGGACCTGGTGGCACTAAAAAAACAAAGACTAGCCCTGGCTGGTTTGGATCAATGATTAGAGCGTCAGCCTACAGACCAGAGAGTCCCAGGTTCGGTTCCCGCTAAGGGCACATACCTAGGTTG